TATTTAAAGATAACGATTATTATTCTTTATTTTTCTCTTTTTCTACTTTTTGCTTTACTTCTATATTTAAGCTTTGACACAATAATGTTTTATTTTATAAGAAATAAATTTCCGCTAAAAACTTTTACTATAAATGCAATTGCTGCGGTTTGCAGATGTTGCCCAGAAATAACAACGATTTATTTGCTGGTAAGGGCAAAGAAACAGAAGGATCCGCAAACTCGATTTAAAGAGTATTTCAATGATGTTGTGAGTAACGTTAAACAATATGTATATATTATGATCGTAATAAAAGATGTCACGAATATTACAGTTTACATTTAAATCTTCAGATTTTTGATAGGTTAAAGAGAGAGCAAAAAGATGTTGAAAAGAAGATTATTGTGATTGAAGGAGACACGAGTCTATTGATTGTAGGATTGTCAGAGAGAGACCGCGATCGCATTAAAGATACCGATGTAATTTTTCACAGTGCGGCATCAGTACGTTTTCTGGACAATATTCGTATTATAGTTAATACAAATATTAGAGGAACAAGGGATCTTCTCTTGCTTGCACAAGAGATGAAAAGATTAAAGGTATTTTTTTTCTAGTTAAATCATCCGTATAAAAATGCGTATGTTTAAGCACAATTCTCCACTAGATCAATTTATTTATATATAAAACTTAGTTTAATTTTAAAAATAAATTGTTCTAATTTTATAATAATTTTGTTTATTAGGCCTTTGTTTATGTTTCAACGGCCTACTCGCACTGTGTTTACAATAAAATCGAAGAAAAATTGTATAAGCCACCTATGAAGACAGAAGACACAATTAGATTGACAGAGATTTTGACCGAAGACCAATTAAATTTAATCACTCCAAAGTAATAAAACATGAAACCTATTGCATTCTTTTAAAGATAAGTCGATAAGCATATTCGTTTGTTTTACAGGCTACTGGGTAAGTGGCCTAACACCTACGCATTTTCAAAGGCAATCTGTGAAGATACAGTACGGCAATATTCTAATGGAATTCCCACTGGCATTGTTCGGCCATCTATTGTTGTCGCAACAGAAAAGGAACCAATAGCTGGCTGGATAAACAATTTCAATGGATTTACAGGTGTTGTTTTTGGTACCTCAAAAGGTATTTTACGAACACTGTATTGTGATAGAGACTTAATTGTCGATATAATTCCTGCTGATTATGTCGTCAACAACATTATTGCTGCAGCATGGGATGTTGCACAAAAACGGTAATTTGTATCTCCTTTTTTTATGTACTACTAAAATAGACTTTTACTAAATCTCTTAAAATATCATTTACATTAAATAAGTTAGAACTTTTTTTGCAGATRCATATCACAGAGTGTTAATGTTTCCAGCAGTGATAATAAGTACTTACCTGTTGACGATGAGATTCCAGTTTATAATTCTGTTTCCTCCGTTCAAAGACCAATTACTTATGATACTATAATGAGAAATGTATTTTTTGAGGGATTTCAAGTCCCGTCGAAAAAAGTGCTTTGGTACGGCTCAATATGGTTTATCAAACACTATTATTTCTATATCTTTATTACAATTTTTTTACACTGGATACCAGCAATAATAGTGGACKTTCTATTATATCTAAGAGGAAAAAAGCCAATGTAATTTATTATGATTTTTAGATTAACAAGCTATTTATTAAATAGAGCTATTAAATAGAGCATAAATAAATTAATGGCTTTTTTTCAGACTGCTTAATGTCTACAGAAGAATAGAGAAGTTTAAACATGTATTAAGTTTCTTTTCCATGAATGAATGAGAATTTACAAACGATAATGTCTTGAAGTTATGGGACAAATTATCTATTGTTGATAAAAGTAACTTCTTCTTTAATGTTGCTGATATTGATTGGAAGTGTTTTTYTATTACTTACATCAGGGGATTGCGAGTATTTTTAATTAAAGACCCAATGGATACGGTTGAAGAATCGAGACCTTTTTATAGAAGGTAAATGTTTTATTATCTTTTTTTTACAAATAATATTATCTTTATCCTATGTATAATTAATTACTCTTTTATTGTTTATCGTTTCCAGGTTGACAATAGCTCATTATACGTTAAAGTGGTTTAGTTATTTTTTGATTCTTTGGATTTTATATTCTTTATTATATTTTATTTTTACTTACATGTTTTATTTTTGACAATCTGTGAAAAACGACAACAAAAT